GTCTGTTGAGAGAATAATGTTAGAAATCAACTGTGTGTGTGTGTGTGTGTGTGTGTGTATTTCTTTAAGTAGCTAAAGCAAACACACCTTTATGAGATCCAAGTTAAAGAGAACTTGTAAAGACAGAGTATGATAAAACCCACATTAAGTGCACATACCCTACATTTGAGTCCAGATCAGTAAGCTATTTTAAGAAAAAATGTATATTAAGATATAAATGAGATAATTAGATCATCTCATTTATAAGAAACAACTCAAACCAGAATCTACATTCAAACCATATGGGGAAAGTTTTTAATGTGTTTTAACGTATTTGAGTGAGTGTGCAGTTTAACTCTTTACTTAGAGAGAGAGAGAGAGAGATTTACTATTATAAATGTGTTTTTTGTGTGTTCACACCATAGACTGTAAAACAAATTAACATATTTCCATTATCTACTGTAATATTGCTCTATAAACCACGTGGAGTATGTTTTAATGCAAGGAGTAAACAGAGTCTTACCAGAAGAGGCCAAGCTGAAGACAGGCAACAAAAGAAAATTAAAATTAAAATTTTAGTTTTAAATTGAGTAGAGAAGATAGGGGAAGCTAAACCTACACGTGGTTAGCTAAGTTTAAGCCAGATAGAACAGAAACCTGTCAAAATACATTATAGACCCATCCATTGATATATAAATGAATTGATATCTACCTACCCTAGCTCTATCGAGCTAATCGTTTATAAATAATAAATGTTGCATCATTGCTAAAAAACAATAACTTTAGCAGATTATTTAACATACAAATGACAGAATCTATTTTTGTCAGATTTTAATTCTAACGATGTTAAACTTGATTATACGGTATTATTACTTTGTCTTCTGGGCAAGTTTCATCTTCATAAAGACAGAACCATTTAAAGTAATCCTGATTCTAGAATATTCTCCTCTGATATAAAGTTCTTTTTTTTCTTCCTTTAAGAAAATGTCAGAACCTTTAAACTCAAAGGTTTATCAAACAAATAATTCAGATTCAGATTCAGATTCAACTTTATTTGTCATTATGCAAAGTACAAGTACAGAGCTAATGAAATGCAGTTAGCATCTGACCAGAAATGCAAGACTACAGTGTTTAATATACATAAAAGTGCAGAATAAAATAATAAAATAAAGCTATGATTTACAGAATGTACAGTGGAATTGCTATTTACAGTACTAAGCAGAATATGTACAGAATATGAGTAGAATGCAAAAGTTCTCAGTCTGTACAAAATATGAGTAGTGTAAACAGTGGCGGCTCCAGACAATTTTGATTGGGGGGGCAATGGGGGGTCCTGGTCATTTCAAGGGGGGTCTCATGAAAAACCAACAAAAAATACAGTGGACACGGCTAATAACTGCATATTGCTGCTACTTAACAACAAAAACAACACAGCATATCAACTACTTTGTTTTTAATCAATCAATTGCAGTTTGCAAACAATATGCTACTTAACAAATGGTAAATGGTAAATGGACTGCATTTATATAGCGCTTTCACAGATCCAATGGCCACCAAAGCGTTTTATATATTGCCTCACATTCACCCATTCACACACCGACGGTTTTTTGTTTTTAATTAATTAATCAATTGCAGTTTGCAAACAATATGCTCGAACTTTAATTGCCATAGCCACACCCATGACAGAAAACATATTTACAAAATAGTATCCTCCTCATCCTCCAATTCCTCGGTGTCCTCTGTTTCCAGTCTATACTAAGAAATCCTATGAAAAATTATTTACAAATCTTCTGCAGGACAGTTCAATTCTTTACAATAATATAATATATTATAAAAGAAAATTAAGCTGTTACACTGAGATGGTTTAGGAAAACCATAAAGTGTTTTTGTACAGTCAATTAATTGTACAGGCAGCATTAAACCATCAAAGTTAAATGATTGTTTATAGCTTATGAATTTCCTAGCCTATATTTTTCTTTAGCAGGGGGTTTCAAACTTTTTAATGGCAATGAGCCCTAAACAATACCCTTGTGAGATTCTTTATTTAGGCTTATAATATAATAAAATATATGCCCAATATAATATAATATAAAAAAATGAATTGAAGTATTTGAAGTGATAGTTTAAATGCTTCAATTTGTTTTCATATTATATTATTATAATATGAAAACAAACTGAAGCATTTACTGTAAATAGCTAGATCTAATAGCTAAATATTTTCAAGAAAAGTCAATATGTGAACTCTTTTATAGTAGCCTAATCTAACCATGCCTGAAACTATTTAAATCTATGTAAACTAATGATGTATTTTGAGTTTGCACGCGGGTGGGTGTGTCAAACTTTAATCAAACCACTCTTCTTTAAAACATGATATTGGGATTTTATTTCACGTCTTTGCGTTTCTCGTCGCCTCTCGTATTGAGATAGGCTATTTGGTCCGCACACACGACTCACTGCCAATCACACGCGCTCACATCATTCTCTTTCTTTGAAACCTGTTAACTGCACTCACCAGTTTGAGCACTGCAATTATTTCTCACATACAATCAAATGGATTTCCCCACACATTTCGCGTCAGCCCTCTGCGTGGCATATTATTCTTTTCTGCACGGCCGCGGCACCAGAAGTGCACGACCGCGCACGCGCGCAGCTTAGAGGGAACGTGATTCTTATGTTTATATATTTTGTACGTCGAATAAATTATTAATTATTATTGTTCTGCGTAGTTTGAAGATAAACATTTTTAAATATTTATCCCGGATATATTTTTTTTTAATCAGGAAGGGGGTGGGGGGTCAAATGGGGGGTCAAAGCATTTTTTGGGAGGGTCTTGAGACCCCCCAAGACCCCCCCTGGCGCCGCCTCTGAGTGTAAATACATGTGTGTAAAGTACTGTGACCAGTGCAGTAATAGTTAGATTGGTGGTGTGGCATTCAAAAGTGTCACAGCCACGGGGAAAAAGCTCTTCCTGAGCCTACTGGTGCGAGAGCGTAGGCTCCTGTAACACCTGCCGGATGGAAGGAGGGTAAAAAGTCCATTGTTAGGGTGAGAGACATCCTTGATGATGTTTCTTGCCCTTCCCAGGCAACGCTTAAGATAAATGTTCTCAATGGAAGGGTAACTGGGTGCCGGTGATCCGTTGAGCAGTCTTCACCACCCGCTGGAGTGCTTTGCGGTCAGATGCGGAGCAATTGCTGTACCATACTGAGATGCAGTTCGTGAGTATGCTCTCAATGGTACAGCGGTAGAATTCCACAAGGATCCTCGGACTCAGGTGAACTTTCTTAAGGCTCCGTAAGAAGTAAAGGCGCTGCTGTGCCTTTTTGACTAGGGTGGAGGTGTTATGGGACCATGTGAGGTCATCTGAGATGTGGATGCCAAGGAACTTGAAGCTCGACACACGCTCCACCACAACTCCATTAATGTAGATGGGTGTGTGTGCATGACTCCTAGTCCGCCTGAAATCAACAATGATCTCCTTTGTCTTCTGGGTGTTTAGTTCCAGATTGTTGACGGCACACCACACAGCCAGTTGCTGCACCTCATCCCTGTAGGCTGATTCATCGTCATCCTTGATCAGACCTACCACCGTGGTGTCATCTGCGAATTTGATTATGGTATTAGAGCCATAAGCATGAACGCAGTCATGGGTGAAGAGGGAATACAGGAGGGGGCTCAGTACGCAACCCTGTGGCACGCCGGTGTTCAGGGTGATGATGGAGGAGGAAAGGTTATCTAACTTAACAGTCTGAGGTCTGTTAGTCAGAAAATCTAAAATCCAATTACAGATGGGTGTGCTGATTCCAAGCTGGCTGAGCTTGGAGATCAGCTTGGAGGGGATTACCGTATTAAATGCAGAACTAAAATCAATGAACAGCATTCTGACGTGTGTGTTTTGTCTGTCCAGGTGGGTGAGGGCAGAGTGAAGTGCCATTGAGATAGCATCCTCTGTTGACCTATTGTGGCGATAGGCAAATTGGAATGGGTCTAGTGTAACAGGGAGACAGGATTTCAAGTGGGATGCAACCAGTTTCTCGAAGCACTTGGCAATAATGGAGGTGAGTGCAACCGGACGGAAGTCATTAGGGACCGAGGCAGTGGAATGTTTCGGTACTGGCACCACGGTGGAGGTTTTGAAAATAGTGGGGACAGTTGTTTGGGCCAAGGACAGATTGAAAATGTCCGTTAAGACCTCAGCCAGCTGCTCCGCACAGGCTTTGAGCACACGACCAGGTATTCCATCAGGGCCAGCTGCTTTCCGTGCGTTCACCTTACGCAAAGTAGAGTAAACATCTGAAGTGGAGAGTGTGAGAGGCAGTTCACTGATTTGATGCTCAGCTTTGAGTGAGATCTCCTTATTATTTTGATCAAAACGAGCATAAAAGTGATTGAGCTCGTCTGGGAGAGAGGCAGAGCTGGAGGGGAGCACCGAGTTAGATGGTTTGTAGTCTGTGAGAATTTGAATGCCTTGCCACATACGCCTAGGGTCTGAAGACTTAAAGTGTTCTTCAATCTTCTGTTAATATCATTGAGTCTGTTGTAAAGAACCTTACATGTTTTTATATTGACAAAATGTAATATTGCATTGATTTGTGTAACCTAATTCAATCTCTTTTGATATCCGTTTACCCCCCTTGTTTTTTTGTTAAACAGATAATTTAATCCGTGCAGATCTACACTATAACGTTTATATTTAAATTAACAAAAAACACAAAATTGTCAAGTCTATGGACGGCTTATTAAGCGTCGATTTAATGATGTTATTTCGCAGTATATCCCTCTACTGGACGCATCAGGAACAACAGGGGCGTAAAACTGCCAGGGGCGTATATCTGCCGGCTCCAGGTCTGCAGCCTCCCCCTACTCTAATAAAGCTTTTTCTCTACCATTGCCAGAGCTCAGTCATTCATTCCAAGTAATTTATCTAAATAAATTATATTTTAAACACAACATAGTCATTAATAATTTGAATCAACGAGATATTTCCATTCCACCATGTCATTTTTAATCTCGGGATACTGGATCAGAAGGTTTATGTGCTCAGTCGTAACAGCGGTTACACATTTCACACACACGCGTAATCAGACCAGTCATCGAATCATACGAACCAGAACGATCAGTGAGTGTAAGGTCATTGATTTGATCCTATTCGAGCTACAGGCTTTCTGTGCGCTGGTTACACACTGAAGTCTCGGCTTTCCTTGTCATGAAGTTGAAGGAGAGAACCCAAACGCAGACACTCAAGGTTTATTACGACACAAAACAGAAAACAAAACCCACGAGGGGGCAAAACAGGACTGGAAATAGTATACCTTGACTAAGACAAGATGACAAATTAAGACTCTGACTTGACAGGAAACAAACAACAAAACAAACTCACAATTCATTAAACTGGATACAGATGAAACACTCACAGAGATTAACACGCAATGTTTGACAATGTACCGACACAGGACAGCAAACACAAGGGGATTAAATAGGGAGACACTAATGACAAAGACAGGTGAAGCTGACTAGACAAGGACAGGTGAAACTTGACTAGACAATAATGACGAGACGAGGATAACAAGGGGGCGGGGTGACGTAACGAGACAACACAAGCACATGGCACAAAACCCAAGACCATGTGCTTGCACACAAAACATGATTCTGTCATGATCCTGCCTCAAGACAAGAGAAAATCAAGGATACTAAGGCAGAATCATGACAGAACCCCCACCTTAAGGAGCGGCTACCAGACGCTCCTCAAGGGGACATCAAACACGGGACATGACAGACTGAGACATCGACACAAACCAACAAAACATGACAAATAACAGTAATGGCAAACACGAAAACACAACAACAGGGTTAGGATGCAACAATAAAAATAACAAACAAGGAAGAGGTGGCGGAGGAAACACAGAGTTCATGGGGGGTGGTCCAGGGTGGATGGGTGTGCTGGGGGTCTTCGGAAAACGGGCTGAGGGCTTAGGGCGAGGAATCCGGGCAGGTTTGGATCGGGACACATGAGGAGTCTTGGAGGAAACAGTCCGGGGTTGATTAGGGACAGGAGGAACAGTGGACGACAGAGAGGGAATCACGACAGGGGAAGCTGAGGGTGGCGAGACAAGACTTCTGACTGGGGAAACAGCGGGAAAAGGAACAGGACACATAACAGGGGACGTAGCAGACGGCTGTGGAGCGGGAACCGAACTCACAGAATCAGACTCGGCACACATGAAAACAGACTCAGATGAAGCGCTCAAATCAGAACCGGAAGAAGCTCTGTGACTGCGGCGGGCTCTGTGACTGCGGCGGGCTCTGTGACTGCGGCGGGCTCTGTGACTGCGGCCGGCTCTGTGACTGCGGCCGGCTCTGTGACTGCGGCCGGCTCTGTGACTGCGGCCGGCTCTGTGACTGCGGCCGGCTCTGTGACTGCGGCCGGCTCTGTGACTGCGGCCGGCTCTGTGACTGCGGCCGGCTCTGTGACTGCGGCCGGCTCTGTGACTGCGGCCGGCTCTGTGACTGCGGCCGGCTCTGTGACTGCGGCCGGCTCTGTGACTGCGGCCGGCTCTGTGACTGCGGCCGGCTCTGTGACTGCGGCCGGCTCTGTGTCTGCGGCCGGCTCTGTGACTGCGGCCGGCTCTGTGACTGCGGCCGGCTCTGTGACTGCGGCGGGCGGCCCGGAGAACGGGAGGCTCCCCTCTTCCTCCTCGGTCGAGAAGCAGCGACCATCACCGGAGCTGAGACGGGTTGGGGAAGCACGGCGGGAACTGTGTCGGGCGAAGAAGGGGTTATCTCTGGCAGGATAGACTCCGACGCTGAGGACTCTGAAGGAGAGTCCCACGAGGTTCGCCTCCCTCTTTTCCCTCGAAGACGGAAGGGGTTAGATGAAGTGCCAGGAGTCGTGAGGGCGCCAGCCTGATCCCCAAGCGTCACGACGCCTATCATTCGACCCTCGGGAATAGCTGGCAGGCAGAAGGTGGAGAGCCCGAGGAAGAAGCCTGCGGAACCTCCCGGGAAAAAAGATCCCAGAGGCGGGCATAATCCCTCATGATCTGCTCACCCTGGGACGGGATAGGGCAAATGACCCGTTCTCCGTTGGTTGGTGCGGAGAACCAGCATCGCTCACGGAACTCCGTCTGGAACTGGAGTTGGGATGTCATACTGTCTGCTGGGTTCTTTGTTGGTCGGTACATTCTGTCATGAAGTTGAAGGAGAGAACCCAAACGCAGACGATATGCAGACACTCAAGGTTTATTACGACACAAAACAGAAAACAAAACCCACGAGGGGGCAAAACAGGACTGGAAATTGTATACCTTGACTAAGACAAGATGACAAATTAAGACTCTGACTTGACAGGAAACAAACAACAAAACAAACTCACAATTCTCATTAAACTGGATACAGATGAAACACTCACAGAGATCAACACGCAATGTTTGACAATGTACCGACACAGGACAGCAAACACAAGGGGATTAAATAGCGAGACACTAATGACAAAGACAGGTGAAGCTGACTAGACAAGGACAGGTGAAACTTGACTAGACAATAATGACGAGACGAGGATAACAAGGGGGCGGGGTGACGTAACGAGACAACACAACCACATGGCACAAAACACAAGACCATGTGCTTGCACAACATGATTCTGTCATGATCCTGCCTCAAGACAAGAGAAAATCAAGGATACTAAGGCAGAATCATGACATTCCTTTGACATTTGATGAATATTGTCATATATCAGTGATATAAGCTAGTTTCTCTATATGTAATGATAGTAGTGTGTATATATGAACATATAATGCAGAGTTAGTGAGTATTTAATCATATTCATGAGCAGAGCATGCTGGGAACTTGTCATTGGTCGGCTCCTCAACCCTTTACTGGACAAAATTGTTCACTAAACTCAACATCTTGTTGATTGACATTTCCAATACATTTATTTCAATTTGAAAATATACCAACAATTTGCTCTTTGTCAGTCCATAAAAAAATTTTTCTTTGCGTAACAGAAAGGCTGTACATTTTACAATATCTTCTAAGCTCTTTTTAAATGGCAGTTTTAATAAAACAATTAAAATTGTAAATTAAAAATATATTCATTCTTGGGTTGATCTAATTTACTTCATTCACTGTCAAATTTCAAAACCTTATGAGATTTTTGCGAGCGAAAGTTTCAACCAGCCTAAGATGGTCACGCTGGTTTTAGAGGGGTTTTGAACACTTGTTTAGATGGTCAGTGTCGGTCTTAGCTGGTCAGTGTTGGTCTTAGCTGGTCAGTGTTGGTCTTAGCTGGTCAGTGTTGGTCTTAGCTGGTCAGTGTCGGTCTTAGCTGGTCAGTGCTGGTCTTAGCTGGTCAGTGTCGGTCTTAGCTGGTGAGTGTTGGTCTTAGCTGGTCAGTGTCGGTCTTAGCTGGTCAGTGTTGGTCTTAGCTGGTCAGTGTCGGTCTTAGCTGGTCAGTGTTGGTCTAAGCTGGTCTTAGCTGGTCAGTGTTGGTCTTAGCTGGTCTTAGCTGGTCAGTGTTGGTCTTAGCTGGTCAGTGTCGGTCTTAGCTGGTCAGTGTTTGTTTTAGCTGGTCAGTGTTGGTCTTAGCTGGTCAGTGTTGGTCTAAGCTGGTCAGTGTTGGTCTTAGCTGGTCAGTGTCGGTCTTAGCTGGTCAGTGTTGGTCTTAGCCGGTCAGTGTTGGTCTTAGCTGGTCAGTGTCGGTCTCAGCTGGTCAGTGTTGGTTTTAGCTGGTCAGTGTTGGTCTTAGCTGGTCAGTGTTGGTCTTAGCTGGTCTTAGCTGGTCAGTGTCGGTCTTAGCTGGTCAGTGTTGGTCTTAGCTGGTCAGTGTCGGTCTTAGCTGGTCAGTGTTGGTCTTAGCTGGTCAGTGTCGGTCTTAGCTGGTCAGTGTTGGTCTAAGCTGGTCAGTGTTTGTCTTAGCTGGTCAGTGTCGGTCTTAGCTGGTGAGTGTTGGTCTTAGCTGGTCAGTGTTGGTCTTAGCTGGTCAGTGTCGGTCTTAGCTGGTCAGTGTTGGTCTTAGCTGGTCAGTGTTGGTCTTAGCTGGTCGGTGTCGGTCTTAGCTGGTCAGTGTTGGTCTTAGCTGGTCAGTGTTGGTCTTAGCTGGTCAGTGTTGGTCTTAGCTGGTCAGTGTTGGTCTTAGCTGGTGAGTGTTGGTCTTAGCTGGTCAGTGTCGGTCTTAGCTGGTCAGTGTCGGTCTTAGCTGGTCAGTGTTGGTCTTAGCTGGTCAGTGTTGGTCTTAGCTGGTCTTAGCTGGTCAGTGTCGGTCTTAGCTGGTCAGTGTTGGTCTTAGCTGGTCTCCCAGCCTAGTCATAGCTGGTTTATCAGGCTGGTTTTAGAGGGGTTTTGAACACTTGTTTAGATGGTCAGTATTGGTCTTAGCTGGTCAGTGTTGGTCTTAGCTGGTCAGTGTTGGTCTTAGCTGGTCTTAGCTGGTCAGTGTTGGTCTTAGCTGGTCAGTGTTGGTCTTAGCTGGTCAGTGTCGGTCTTAGCTGGTCAGTGTTGGTCTTAGCTGGTCAGTGTCGGTCTTAGCTGGTCAGTGTTGGTTTTAGCTGGTCAGTGTTGGTCTTAGCTGGTCAGTGTTGGTTTTAGCTGGTCAGTGTTGGTCTTAGCTGGTCAGTGTTGGTCTTAGCTGGTCTTAGCTGGTCAGTGTCGGTCTTAGCTGGTCAGTGTTGGTCTTAGCTGGTCAGTGTCGGTCTTAGCTGGTCAGTGTTGGCTTTAGCTGGTTTTAGCTGGTCAGTGTTGGTCTTAGCTGGTCAGTGTTGGTCTTAGCTGGTCACCCTGCCTGGTCATAGCTGTTTTATCAGGCTGGTTTTAGAGGGGTTTTGAACACTTGTTTAGATGGTCAGTGTTGGTCTTAGCTGGTCAGTGTTGGTCTTAGCTGGTCAGTGTTGGTCTTAGCTGGTCAGTGTTGGTCTTAGCTGGTCAGTGTTGGTCTTAGCTGGTCTTAGCTGGTCAGTGTTGGTCTTAGCTGGTCTTAGCTGGTCAGTGTTGGTCTTAGCTGGTCAGTGTCGGTTTTAGCTGGTCAGTGTTGGTTTTAGCTGGTCAGTGTTGGTCTTAGCTGGTCAGTGTTGGTCTTAGCTGGTCAGTGTTGGTCTTAGCTGGTCTTAGCTGGTCAGTGTTGGTC